CATAATAAGGATGGTCTTATGGGACCGAATTCCATAATGGTAGTATATATGGACCCTCTGGGTAACAACACCCTGTAAGAAATTTGCACAGGACTTTTCTAACACCTGATAAGAACGCCTAACCCCTAAAGCTAGAACGGCCCTAACCCCCGACCCTAAACCCTAAACCCCAAAGCCTTTGCCAGCCCTGCAGACAGGTCACGGAGCTCTTCTACACCCGGTTGCGGACCTCCGTGGCGATGTTGGGTTACTTCGGGGAAGTTCCTGACTGCGAAGAGGCTGTGGCCGACTGTGTCAAAAAGTTAGGGGGTTTATGGTCTTGGGTTTTGGCGTTATGGCTTTTAATTTTATGGCTTACCTTGTGGCGAGTGCCCAGTGTTGAGAAAACCAAACTTCCAACCAATTCTGGTGATTCCTCAACCCTAATCTCTAAACCCTAAACCCTAAACCCTAAACCCGACCCCCTAAACCCTAAACCCTAAAACCCTAAACCCTAAAACCCTAAACCGGGGCTTTAAGGGGACCCCCAGGTCCGAGGTTCCGTTCTGTCTCTTGTAACGTAAAGGCGACGATGCTGTACAGATATGGGAGTTTCCGAAAACCGGGGGTACCTTATTTTGGGGTCCTTATAATAGGGATCCTGCTATTTACGGTACTACATTAGGGTCCCCGATTTTCGGAAACCCCCCATATCCTTCGATCCAGGATGTTTGTGCTACATGGTGCTGTGAGACTCAAACCGTCAACCAAGGGACTCCACTCCTACATCCAGAACCCAAAACCCCAACAGGTTTAGGGCTTAGGGTTTAGGGCTTAGGGTTTAGGGCTTAGGGTTTAGGGCTTAGGGTTTAGGGCTTAGGGTTTAGGGTTTAGGGTTTAGGGTTAGGGTAACGCCAAGCGAGGCCCAACCTTCAAGCCTCTACGGACCCCTGCACCAGCTCGGCACAACACGAGCACGTCGCGGCTCAGAAAAAATATGTTTCCTGGGCTCTGGACCCTATGCAGCTGCAGGTGGCCGGAAAAGAACCCAAGGTTTAAGGTTTAGGGTTCAGGGGTTTGGGTTTAGGGCAAGCGGCATGAGCTCGTCATCGGACAGATCCAGAAGAAGCAGCTGGGTGCTCGTGACAGCGCCTTCCAAGCTTGCAGCAGCCTTGGCCTTGTCTTTGCCAAAAAGGTTCAGGGTTTAGGGTTTAGGATTTAGGGTTTAGGGGTTTAGGGGTATAGGGTTTAGGGTTTAGGGTTTAGGGTTTAGGGTTCCTTGGCGTTTTCTTTGCCAAACGACAATCAGGCAGTTTGCATTTTGGGAATCCAGGTGGCCACGGCAGAAGTGGAGAACATATCTGGGTCCTTGTTGGACAAAGTTTTACATGTTTGTTATAATAAAACCCAATATGGATTAAACATGATGATTTTGAATATAGCCCCAACAGGGAACCAGATATTCTGTTAAAGTCTGGTTGACCGGAGACTGTGGATCAGGCGGATGAATATAGCCCCAACAGGGAACCAGATATTCTGTTAAAGTCTGGTTGACCGGAGACTGTGGATCAGGCGGAAGGCCGCACTGCGGCGCTCTAAAGATTGCAAAGCGCTGTCGAGCAAGAAGCCGTCTACTTGCTGTAATACCCCAAGCCCCGAACCTCTAAACCCCTTGGAATCCATTGAACCACCCTAAACCCTAAACCCTAAACCTGAAATATAAAACTGCAAACTCGAAGCGCCAAAACCCGAACACCTGGGCTCTAAACTCAAACCCTACAGCAGTTAGACCCTGAACCATACTAGACCCCTACACCCTCCATTGAGCCCCTAAAAACCCCTAAGCCTGAGCCTCCTATATAACTTTAACTTAGTGGAGTAGATGACCTTTCACACTCTAAGGGTACCACAAATCCTATATACTCCCAAGGGTTAACCTTAAGTTCCCCTAGGATACTGGACAAGCAAGCCAAAGAAATCCTCGAACCCCCGAGACCCTAAACCCCAAATCCTCTGGTCAGGTCAGAGACTATTGCGACTTCCCGCAGGCGGGAGTCATGTGTTTTCACCAGGTTTTTCCATGAAATTCGATGGAGGGCTTGTTACGGCTTTAGGGCTTCGGGGTATAGGAGCCTCAAGCAATGAAGCAGGGTATGACAAAACACATGGAATCATCCTCGTAGGCTAAGGCGCAGCGACTAAACCCTAAACCCTATAAGCCCCAAACGCAGCCTCTAAACCCTGAACCCTAAGCCCTAAGCGCAACCCCTAAACCCTAAACCCCTAAGCCCCTAAACCCTCAGACCTCGCTTCGGTTTAGGGTTTAGGG